GGTAAACGGGCACGCGAGTGCCCGTCTGGATGCTATTGTTGTTAAGCATTAGTTATAACAACGACATCAAATTTCGTTGCAAAACTTTTTGCAACGGCTCTTATACCATCGACATTTTTTTGCTGCAAAAAACACATTTCTCAGCAACTTTGTGTTTTTCTTAACAACTTTTGTCGCTGCGAAAACTCATTTTTCTTATAGTGACAACTTTCTCTCATCATCACACGACCATTCTCACACCTTGATGACCATATGCGCGGCGAAGAAACTGGACTAATTGGTTAGTGTTTTTTTTTTCAATTAGGGTTTAATTTTTTTGGGTAGAACATTAGGGTTTAATCTTTTAGGTATAACATTAGGGTTCATATCTCTTTAAAAAATAAGCTCAATTTCTTTTTCAAATAAAAATTTACTCTTATTTTGCTACCCATAACTATCACTATTTTCATTATCACTATGTTTCTTTATATAATTCATATTTGTTACTCGCATAATTTTTTTATTCATATTTTTAATAACTTATATTGTATTTGATATTGAATGATAAAAAAATCAATTGGATTCCCATTGATATGTTCATAGATGCGACAAAGTTAATAATGTAACTTTTGTATTCTTTTGGATGCATTGTAATCAAAACCAAATCTGATCAAACCATTTTTACCAACTCTAGAAATGGAAACGCCTATTTTGTGATTCTAAATAAGATGCCTTCAAATGATGTTTGTCTTCTTAGAAAGGAGGATGCATCTTGGCTATGGCATAGGAGAATAGACCATATCTACATGGACCAATTAAACAAGTTAGACTGTAAGGATTTAGTGATTAGCATTCCAGACTTGTTATTTGATAAAAGTTGATTATGTGATGTCTCCAAAAAGGGGAAACAAGTAAGGGTAAAAAGTCTGGTTTCTACAAACTGACCCTTACAACTTTTGTACATAGATTTTTTTAGCTCACAAAACTAAAAAATTTAACGACAATCTTTATTTCTTTGTAGTTGTGGATGAATATTTTCGTTATTCATGAACGTTATTTCTATCTCAAAAAAATATATGTTTGTTATCTTTCAAAAACTTTCCAGAATTATGCATAATAAAAAAAGGATTAAGCATTGCATCAGTTCAAAGTAATCATGGTTGTTAATTCCATAATGAGGAATTAAAAAACTTATATAATGAGAATAACATTTATCATACTTTTCCACTCCACGAACTCCGAAACAAAAAAAGGTTGTGGGGAGGAAAAACAGATCTCTAGAAGAGCTGATGAGGATGATGTTCAATGGGACTAATTGGGATGATATTGGAAACACTTTTTATTATATAATGAATCATGTTATGATAAGACCAATTCTAAATTTGAAGCCCTATGAGTTATGTAAAGAAAGGAAGTGAATATTTCTCATTTACATGTCTTTGGATGCAAATACTTTGTCCTTAAAAAAAGGAAGGAAAACATTAGGAAATTTTACGCCCAAGACGGTGAAGTCATATTCCTAGGATATTCCACTTGTAGAAAATCTTTTAGTGTTTTTAACAAAAGAACCTTAATAATAAAAGATTCAATTCATGTTACCTTTGATGAGTCTTACCCTTTGTCTATAGAGGAAGATGTTGCTGACTATGCAAGTATCTTGAGAAAACATCTCTAAAATATAATGGTCAAGATAAATATAAATTTCAAGGTCAAAAGGAATATCAAAGCCTAAATGGAGATACTCGAGCTCATGAAGAAAACTTAGAAAATTAAAGTCTACCCAAAGAATGGAGGAGCACTAAGGACCATCCAATTTATAACATTATTTGAGATATTTCTATAGGAGTTACAACTCGACTATTCTTTAGAAAGGTTTGTAATCATATGACCTTTGTTTCCTAAATTGCACCAATGAAAGTTGATGAGGCCCTCATCGACAAAAATTGGCCTATTTCTATCCAAGAAGAGTTAAATCAATTTGAAAGAAACAATATTTGGGTAATCTCTCTTAAAGCCTCAACTAATCAAGTTATTGGTACCTAATGAGTCCTTCACAACAAGCTTGATGAAGATGGAAATTTTTTGAGAAGCAAAGCAAGACTTATTCTTAAAGGATACAATCAACAAGAGGAATAGATTTTAATGAGATATATGCTCTTTTAACTTGATTAAAGGTCATAAGGATGATTTTAGTTTTTTCTTGCATCATGGTTTTAACTTTTCCAAATGGATGTAATGAACGCGTTCTTAAAGGAATACATCTAAGACTAAGTGGTTTGTTGATCATCCTCTGGGTTTTGTAAACTATTCCTTTTATGGTCATGTCTTCAAGCTGAAAAAGACTTTGTACAACCTGAAATAAGTTTCTAGAGCTTAGTATGATCTTCTGAGCAAGTTTTTGCTTGAAAACAATTTTCAATGTGGGAAAGTTTACAAAGTCTTTTTTATCAAAACATTTGAGCATGACATATTGATAATTCAAATCAATGTAGATGATATCATTTTTGGTGCTACTGATGAATCCTTATGTAAGAAATGTGACAAAGACCTTTCAATATTTTCTCAGATTTAAAATTAATAAATTTAAATAAGGCACTTTAAAAAATCAAGCAAAGCACTACAAGAATTACTCACAAGATTCGGCATGGACCAAGCTAAGGCTATCTCCACTCTGATGGTTACTTCTTCCAATTTGGACAAGGATGAAGGAGGAAAACCAGTTTAAGTGAGCTATTATCGAGGCATGATTGATTCTCTTCTTTATCTCTCTCTGTATGTCGTCCTAATATATGCACATTTTGTGTTTTTGTGCTCATTTTCAAGCATCTCCAAATGGACCACTTTTCTCTGCGGTAAAATGCATTCTCATTAGCACACCATTAATGGGTTTATGGTACCTCAAAGGTACGAATTATGTTTTAGTTTCATACTTAAACTACATAATCGGTTAGGTGATATGCATAACCGATTATAAGAATTAAAAAGCTCATGGATTATTTTCCTTTTTAGATATATGTTTCCTATATAAATGAGGTTTCTCCTCATTCCAAAATGCACCATAGTTCAGATTTCTATTATCCTTTTATTATTTCCTCTTTTGATAGGTTAATTGATTGACCATTATTTGCATCTGTGAGACCAATTGATTGACCATTAAGATAATGTCTCCTTGTCCTACTAAGGTAAAGTCATGGGTATCAAGTAGCTTGTTTCTCTGTCGGAGACAGATCATTTATGAGTATTAATATGCTTTGAATGTTATATTTTCTTATTAAAATGTATTAGTCGACACTAAGATATAGTGACCTTGGATCGACCTATTCAACTTAACCACTTTACGTTGATTCAGCTACGTCATGTCTAATGGAATGGTTTAAAACCAAGATAGATTTTGTTGAGTTTGGATTTAAATTCGCCCAATTATTAGAGTGTATACAATCCCTCAAACATGTAAAAGCAAGATGCTTTAAGCGAGAGATTGGATTATACAACTATATTTTCCATAGTCGCATAACTACACATGGCACGCCGAGCATTTAGTTTGGAAGTATATTAGCGCTAAAATTACTTAAAATACATAACTATTTATTAACTTAATCACAAGTAATCAATAAAAAGATCTTCTAATTTATGACTAAAACAAAATAAAACATATGTATGGACTTTTTAACTGTATTCATAAAATACAAATAGAAATAATTAAAAAAAGAAAAACCCCAAACAACAACCAAAGATCTCGCCAAACAAATATCTTTCAAAAAATATTCTCATTAAGTGAAGATAGGGTCTCGTTAAATGAACAATGGCAGCAATCGGTGTCACATGTTTTATAAAGAAGGTGAAGAATGAAAACAAATTTGATGAAGTAGATGAAGATTGCAATCAAAATTTAGAAAATTTTTTTGGTCACCAATTTTAACGTTGCTAAATCGGTTGTTAGTGGTATTTCAAAGGAAATAGTACTAATGTGATATTTTTGAAAAAAATAAGGATTTAAAAGATCTTTTTAAACACTCATTTCAGTCCTTTTTAAAGATGCATGGAAGCAGTGGATGTCAGGTATCCCTGCAAACAAGATATTCTTAGGGCTACCTGCTTCTCCAACAGCTGCGAGAAGTGGCTTTATTCCTGCAACTGATCTTACTTCTACCGTGCTTCCAGCTATTAAGGGTTCTGCAAAGTATGGCGGTGTTATGTTGTGGTCTAGGTATGATGATGTTCAGAGTGATTATAGCTCCTCCATCAAGAGCCATGTGTGAAATCTAAATTCATCTAGCTAGTAGTAATGTATATGTAATATGTGATGTTTTGTTGAAATGAATTCACTACAGTTGAATGATCAGTGATGGTTATCGAACGACTAACAACAGCTATTTTATAGACTTGGTAATGGTATAAAACTAAACCAATAACTATTATTAAAAACATGTTATTAATATTTTGCAATACAATGGCTATGAATCAATGTCGTTCATTGCTTTCATATGGGGGCACGTTACAAAAGGATAATTCTTGCCTCCTGCATTAAGCCACTAACTAATACTCTGTACTAAGCCACTAATTTCACATGTTAGCAAAACCATCAATTCCTCCATACTTAATTCAAAACACTAGGAAGCTGAACAAAATAAAACATTGATCAACTTGCCCTTACGCTCACAAGGACTTCCGTTGGACCCCAACGTATTGCGACAATAATGCATCAGCAATCACTTTTTAACCACAGATGCAAGAAGGTCAAGAATCCGCTTTTGCTGTAGTTGAGTTTGCCTTTCTTTGATCCAGCTTAAAACATACACATCAAAATGATACTAGTCATGCTGGAAAGGATGTCAAGTATAATTACCTTTCACTTCAGTGTGCATCCGTTCGGATCCCTCCGGTACAAAAAGTCTGCAGTTACACGTTGATTTGAATTCTAATGATGACACTGAACAATCAAAATGACCAGTATATTCTTAAGTGGAAATAAAAGGAACCTTAGAGCTGGAATTGATCAAGCAATCTAGAGTTGGAACTGTTCAAGCAGTCCCTGGTGGAGATGGAAATGTCCTGTGCCGGAATAGCTTCAGCAATGCTCTACGTTCACAATCCTGCACACAGATTGAAGATGAACATGTTTTGTGAAATACAATATATTCATCCAGCGCTAAGGTAGTTTATTAAGTAGCATTCATGCAGGAACTATATCCTTGTCCAAAATATCCTAGAGATAGTAATAGATCTTTTGATGAAGATCATATAAAACTTGCAAAATAAGGTCATGTTTGGATTAAGCCCTTATAACAATGCGCTTATCATATAAATGAGTATGTTTAAGCTATTTCAATTACAAAAATTAAATTCAAGTTGAACTGTTTTCATATAAGCTATAAGCTATTCTAGAGAGATGGCGTGAAATGGTGTGAAAATTTACCTTGAACATATATAGATGAAATGGTTTATCTGGATTCATTCTCCTGAGCTTCAAATATGTATAAGCAAAGCTTAGTTGATCACGGGATGTAAATCTATCAACTTCATTAAACCAAAGACAGGAAAATAAATTTGACATTGGTGTATGCGCCCTAACTATAAAGGAACCCTCGGGAACATCTGCAACATGAAAGACTCCATAGTTGGAATGACATTATGCACGAATAGAGACATCAAAATTCCATAATGAACAAATGTGTGAAGGATACGCACAGCTTGGAAGAGGATTATCGTTTGATGGTTCAAACCTGGGGAGGCCATCAGACTCGTAAAAGCTAAACTGTTCATCAATTGCTGTGTGGTTGTATTTATTTAAGCGCTTATTTTGGAGTACCTCTTCCCAGACACTGTGACGATCATAATGATTCGAAATGGCATATTCGGCCTTCGTTCGCCACAAAAAATATTCAATAATCAGCATAGGGTCAGATGTGAGTCGCATCTTGCTGTCGAGCCAAATTGAATACCTAGCAAACAAATATATTTTCAAAAAACGTTAAAGTTGGGAACAGATTCAAAGAAACTTCAATGCAAGAATAGATTGTGAAATCTACCGAGAATTTGGGAAGAGACGGTGTGATAAGAATTTTGGCACCTTGCCGGTTCTACGCATGTCGTCATATGGTAAGCTGTTTACAATAACTACTTTCCACAAGCCAATGTAACCTCTTTCATCAGGATGGTTTCCTTCTGACAAAAGTTTGGACAGTGTTTGATCATCCATGAACATAACAAAACAAACATTGTCCTTTGAATATTGACTGATCTGTGGCAAAGAGGCATATATAAAATAGAATAAACTTTTTGCTTTTCGTATGGAGAATGCAAAAAACAGAAGAGAAAAAAAATAGCCGAATTACCAGTTTACTTGTAGGCCTCCGAATAAAATCAGAGCTTCCGAAAATGCATGAAGAAACTGCAACCTTACAGCTGGACATGTATGCTCTATCATTTTCATCTAAATCAAATCCAGTGCTTGGATATCCTGGCGGTCCCTTGACAAAACCACAGTGAATTGTCTGGTTTTTCACATAAAATGACTCTTCTCTTTCCTCTAGAGTTGCATGCCCTCCAAATCGAGGTTCAAATAAATCATTTTCTGATGTTTTTTCTTCACGGATAACATAATCTTGAGAAACCCATGTGAAGTTCATATAATCTTTGGGTTCAATAAGGCCATCTACTGATTGCCGAAGTCCAACTTCACAAGGAAAATCTGAAGGAATTGAATTTAAGGAAATTATTAGAGGCGAAGAATGTAGTTAATAATGCTGATAGATTATAGACAATGTTGATGGTTTTCGACAAAATTCAAGCATCGGAAGTCATCTAACCATGAAGTTAAAAATCTCAGGTTTTTTCTTGTTCATTTTGATTGGAAAACACCAGTTGTATTTGACAAATACTAGTATTCAACGTGCACAGAATCACACATCATTTTCAAAATGCTAAAAATTATGATATCACTAAAATATAAAGGACATGTGCATAATCAGGTTTTTCCGGCAACATATGATTCATGTAACTGCATAATCAGTTTTACACAAGTATTTTTTGTAAAATGAATTTCTCAATAAATTTTCATTTAAGAAAGAAACCAGGGGAGGGGAATGCGTTGAACTAAAGACTCAATTGGTGGCCAAAATAGGATAAAATAAAAGAGTTCAATCACAATAAGCTCTTATCATATCCACATTTCATGAGCACCAAATGATTCACAGATAGAACTATGTTATCATATTTACACATTTGAGGGGAAATAAATAAATTACAATCAAATGACAAAATTATCCTTTTGACTAGGCAGAAAAGATGGTGGTGAAGGTGCATTGGGGGAAAGATGGAGGGCGTCGGCAGAGGCGACAAAGATGATGGACGACAATCATGATGGCGGTGGAGGGTTCAAAACAATGGTAATGGATGCAGCAGAGGTGGAAAGGAAATGTGTTGGGTGGTGGAGGATATGTAGGGTGTCAAGAAATTATCGGTGCTGATGGTGGCAGAAGTAGTGATGACAAATGCGGTGGGGGTATCAACAAAAATAATGAGTATAGATTGGCAGCGGTTGATAGGACATTAGATTTAGGCCCTAGCCCAATAGAGAGGCTTAATAGAGAATTGATTATAACATTTTATGTTAAAAGGGAAGGTATATAAGGACGCCGATAACAAGGGAGAATTCATTATGTGCATTTTCGGTTAGAAACCTTTTGGGTTGGGCAGAGTGAGAACCATCTCTCCTCTGAGGAGCACTTGACTCTGAGATTATAGGGATTATTCTATGTTATAGTGTTAATTGCAATCAATACTACATAATGTGATGATAAATGAGTTACAAAGCATGACTCTTACGCTTCCGACGCTTGCTTTTAGGTGGCCTTCCATAGTTGTTTAAGAAACTAGTCTCTTCTAGGTGAAGCTCTCCCTCAAGATAAATTGGAGTTGAGAATCTGGATTCGATTTTAGCTGCGACGAAAGCATTGGAACAAATAAAACTGAAAATTCAGTAAGTTGGATATTTAAACATAACCAGCGGTAGGAAACTATTTGCATATAACCTTACAAAATATCACAAAGAAAGCCCCGTGTCTCTGGCCTCACCTTGTAAAAACTTTTTCAGTCCATAAACAGTTAAGAAAATGGAAAAGAGTGCCAGGAGGAGGAAAATCCAGCGCAAAAGTCTTTGTTTAGTGATCCTACTGAACCTTCTACTACCACGGCGTACAATTTTAGAGCCATGATCAGTTTTAGCAATAGAATTTAAAGCTGCATCAATGATGACTCTTCTCTCTGGAAATAATTCAGCATTGTTTCTTAGAAGAGCCATGCCAGAGTAACATCCCAAAATTCAGACATAGACCGTAATATCTACAAAATAAGCCAACAACAAAAAAGTTAAAAATTGCACCCAAAAAAATGATAATCTCACTCATGTTGCCAACTCTTGATCAATATCAGAGTAGTCAATAGTGGTCAATAGCTGTGTTATCCAGCTATAGCGAAACGGAGCGGAGGCTGACCGCTATGGGAAGAACCTTAGTGGTGTAGAATACTATTGCAGCCGCTATAGGGTAAATAGCGGGGTAGCTGATCAAAGCGGTTCTTGGCCCGCTATCCTTTTCTGCCATAAAAAACCGAAATTACCCCTTAAATTTTCAACTTTTTAAGGATTACTTTGGGGTTTTCAATCAAATTTTAAGTTGAGACTCAACCTTAACCTTCCTACATAGTCGTTTATGCACTTCAAGAGTCACGTGTGCTATGTGTGCTTTGATTTATGAATTGAATTGTTTGTTTAATTTTACATTAAATATATGTTTATAATTATTATGCCTAATTTGTCCGAAAAATGATCAAATAGTGCGGTCATCCAGCTATACGCTATCCCACTTTTGTGGTTGGCCGTTCCGCTCTGCTATCTTGGAATGCCTACTATGATCAATGTAAATTGAAAGGGGTGTCCGACCGGACACACTCAATAGCACCGACACTTCTGATTAAAGGTATGTCTGGTGGTGTCCTACACCTAAAGCAGATGTGATTTCATTCAAATTTGTTTGATATGTTGGTGCAAATTCATTCACTAAATTTGACATCCTACAAGCAACTACAGATTACAAAAGCATCCTAAGAATGAGAGGCGGTGCAATCAATGAATGAAGGTCAAAATTCTTGAAGCAACAAACAAACATCCTTCTAGACCCAATCAGATAGCAATGGCAAGAAATTGAAAGGAAATAAAAGAATGAAACTTTTCCAATAATTATCACAAAATGAGGGAATGGAAAAACTTACTGGGATTAACGAAAATACGAATGCAGAAGATGGAAAATCATTCCAAAATGAGATAATTGAGGATGTATGATTATGGGTGATGTAGCGAACTTTATAATTAGAAATAAAAAGTTTCAATTTTTCGTTTTCTCAGTTGTTGTTCTTTTTTGAAGCTTTCGTTTACTCATAAGTTATTATAAGGTAATTATTGAAGCTAAAAATAGCTCATGAACATATCATAAGTTAATTTTGTTAATTACATTTAAACACTAGTAATATAAATATTTAGTACATCACAAGTAAAATAACCTTTTTCAAATTTTGAAACACATATAGAGTTAATATTAACCCTTCAATCTTACATGTACGATAGAGATTAAATTTAAGTAAAAACCAATATTGACCACTATCCAACAAATACCGGAAAAACCTGCGCATTTGTTGCAAACAAAATAAAAAGAAAGCCGAAGTCACGAGAATTCTTATTCTAATAATACGCCCCAACGCATATACACATGCAATAAAACGCTCAAATATTTGACAGAATGCCAATTTGCAAATACACCATCATCGAACAATACAATGAAGCTAACAAATCATACACCTAAGCAACTGATACGTACGCACGCAATCTACACAATAACAATACACATCACATAATCTCGAAAACTCAATAAACATAACAATCATTTTCCATTTTCCAAAATCCCAAACATCAACATCTAATTTTTTCAACAAAAATAAAATAAATAAATAAACTAATTAATTAATTAATTAAACTAGTCCTTTAAACTTCAACATAAAAATGCAATTTCCATTCAGGTCAACAAAATTCAATCGGGAACCAGATCGAAATTCAAGCTAAATCTACCTATCTTCAGTAAGAAAAAAAGTTGAAAAAAAGTCGAAACAAAGCGATTAAATTATCTTCAATTCATACCTGGAGATGAAGCAGTAATCGATTATACCTTTATCGGAATCAGCAGCAATAAACAAAACCAGAAAAATCGAGAAACGAAGAACAACGCAAGTACTACACAACCTCGAGTTGAAGAAAAAAAATTGAAATCGAAACTTGAAAGTATAAATAAATAAAGAATGTTGAGGAATCGAAGTGAATAGGTAGTAGCAAGTAGCAGATCCAATCAGAGAAAGGAAAATTGGCGAAAATCGGAGGTGCGGAAAATGGAAGGAAAAAGAAGAAAGAGAAAAGTGAGAGAAAAAGAAAGTAGTGAGTGAAGAAAAGAAGGAAGACCCGTATCTGCGAAATTCAAACCCACATTGAGTTTGACGGGCAAAATCCGTTTGGTCTGGTTTGAATGTGTTTAATAAACAAAATTTGAGATATTAGTACCCAATATGCGTTTAATTGAAGTTATAATTTATTAATTATCGTTGATAATTTGAAATATTAATTGTATGATATTTTAAATTTTATTTTATTATTTAAAATATATGTTTGAAAATAAATAATTTATGTTAAAATATTAATTACACTTATATACGAGAGCATATTTAAATTTATCTCGAATCTTTTCGAATGGATTTAGGGTTTCAATTCTTACCTCCAATAGAGATTGATGTAGAGAATGAATATTTGTTTTAAATTTGAGTTTGTGTATGAGAAAAGTAAAACTGTCTTCGTTCCATTATCATATCTAGATCAAGAGCATTTAACCTGTTATTTGTTCAATTAAATTTATCGTCCTCACATATTTTCATATTTATCAAATTGTATAGACAAATTTGAGTTAAAAATGCTAACAAAATTTTTAATAATTCATTTTTAGTTTATTAATTAAAAATTTTGTCGTTCCTTAAAAGAAAATTAAGATACCAATTTTTTTGATAATTTATTTTTCTGGAATTTTTTAAATTTTAGTTCATATTTAATAAAAAAACTAACATTATCGTAAAATTTTAAAAATATTATAGTTTATTTGAAATTTCGAAAATTGTGATAGTTTGTTGGAAATTTTTTTGGAAAATTCAATATTTCCTTCAATTTTTTTCATTGATTTTATATTAAAAATTTTGATTTTTTTTTTAAAATTCTTGATAAACGCAATAAAAAGCTCAAAATAAATTAATAAAAAGCAACCACTTCAAGGGTATTAGATTTAATTGAGAGTGACAAATTAAATTTTAGTATTAAATTGAACACAGCTTCTATAGTTGAGTTGACTTCTGACACCCTTTCATTGTTTTTACAAGAAATAATAATCTATATACATAAAATAAATTGCTTCCTATAGTATGGGTTTTTATTTTTTATTTTTTTTCTTTGGGACAGGAGTATATAATAGGGCTTATATGGTCGATTCTATAAATTTCTTTTTTAATCAAATTTTAATTGATAAAATATAGTCAATCAATACTAATTAAATTGGTCTCCGACAATAGCGCCAAAAACTTGATGGGCGATTCGCAAGTGCACGAATAACGTCAAAGTAATACAAAAGAGTATCGATCCCACAGAGACCAAACGTCAATCTATCGATTACTATTGTTACGGTGTTTATCAAGGTAAGTCAATTAAGGGATTTGGTTGTGCAGAATAAAAGTAAAGTGCGGAAAGTAGATTCAATTATAAAGCAACAGACATAGATACAATTCATATAGTTACGTAGTATTTCAGATGTGTACAAATAGGATATCTTACGGGTAATGTTTTCTACTCATGAAAAGAACTAATTTAACAGGAACTGTCGCTTTCGCGTATTCAGAACCGAGTTTATCCCTAATCGATCCCTCTTATTGTCACATATAAGAAGGTGCGCATTGCGTTAGGACTAATAAACCTATTTTTAAGAAATATAGTTTCTAGACTTAGTTGAAAAGTATTTTAACCTAGAATTTCTAATAAAAAGAGGTTCTTACGAAACGGACTTTAAATCCATAAACGCGTCCGAAAACAGTTTTAAAATTGCTTTTCTTAAACATTAAAGATTCCTAATTGACTGAGCCAAGCGCTTTCGCTTCCTTAGAACAGTCAAAACTAACCAAATTTATCTAAAGGTTGGACGATATTCGATCTTACACAACAGATTTTAAGTAGAGAAAATAAGTGTTAAAAGTAAAAATATCCCTTAAGTGATTATATCGACATTCGTTTGGAATACTACTTATAACTACAATCCTCGCATCCTAACCTTTAAGGTTTAGTCGGACATGGTAAATAAATACGAGAAAGTAAAGTGCGGATAAATAAATAAAGTGCGGTAAAAGGTGCGAGAAAATAAACGTGCGAGAAAATAAAAGGCGGAAAATGCGCATAATCTACACCAGAAAAGTGCAGCAAGCTTGCACAGAAAAATATGATCACACACACATTCATACAGAATGTTTAGTCCATAAGTGTCAAGACATGTATATTTTGGTGTAGCCTATTTTTCTACCCACCTTCCATTAAGCATAACAGATCCATACCTCCGCCCCATTCTCTTTTTCCATCCCCGCCACCATCATGAAACTATACCAACCTCAACCATAACCCACAAATATTTTGCCCTTCAACTCAATTCTTCTTACCAAAACCAACTTTTAACTCACCACTGTGTGAATCAAAAAAATCTATCCGCCGTGTTTTCGCACAAGATCACCACCGGAGATCCGCAACCACCACAACAGATCTGAAACCTTCATCATCACTCTCACAATTAAAATTTGTGCGGTTTATTTTCATGGTTAAAACGTCGATGCAATGATGCAATTTGAGTGACGTTTGTTTGAACATTGCGACATTCATCCTTACCTCAACACTTCTCAAACACAGTAAACATCTACAGCCGCAACATAATAAGCAACTCAACTCGCTTCAAGTAACAGCGTTGTAGCGGCAATGTCGTAGCAACTTCGATAATGTTGCAGTCCAGCAGTAGCTATGATCATTTGTGTTGTGTTTTCAAGCCACTGAGTTTTAGTTCAAGACTTTCTTTGCAAGAGAGATATCATCACAAATATGAGGATTAAGAACTGAGATCTTTATCTTGAGAATTAAGAACTATCCGAGTCTAGGCGAGTTGATATACATTCCATCATAAAATGAATTGA